CTCTCGAATGCCTTTTTCTTCTTTTATTTCTCTCCCTTTTCTGTCTGAGTGACTGTCTGCTGTGTCTGGCGTTGTATTCTTGAATATCCTGATGTTGCGGACTATCTGGTGGGGTGTGTGCCTTCAGCACTGCATCTTCATTGGATCTTTTCTCTCTGGACCTTTTCTGTGCCTCTCTCCAATACTTCCTACAATTCCTCTTTGCCCTGTCTCCCATATCGTCTATTTGTATTACTTTTCTGTCTTTAACTCTCTTCTTCCACCTTTGTCTTTCCTTCTCTTGCAAAGCATGCTTGCTCTCTTGGTCACTGTTTAATTTTTCTCTTCTCTTTCGTTGGTACTCTCTATTTCTTCTTCTTTTCTCCTCAACTGACAATTTCTGTCTAGCCATTTTTTCCTACAATACAAATTGAAATAAAGAAAAATTTACTTGAATAAGACTAAAGAATCAGATTTTTTATTTACATGATATGATTGATTGACTGATGGATGAATGGATGGATCTAAAAGCATCTAGGTGCAGTATGTAGTTTTCATAACCAGATGTTGTGATAATCTACACATTGGCCTCTCATTTCCCTTTCTCTGTCTCTACATATATAAATATAAATATATATATATGAAAGTGCTAGAAAAATTACACGTAACACAATAATAAGCAGACAACTGCCTGCCCAATCTCTACAAGTCAGATGCGTATGGTTAAATAATGTAATGCATGCTATGTATGTGCATTTATGTGTAAATAAAACCTTGAAATATCAGTTTAACCTTTCACTATATTCACACATAATATTATATTTGCACATTAAGAGGTCATTGGTGGTTTTGTCAACTCCGTCAGCTTACAGTTCAACTCCGTCAGACATAGAACCTGACGGAGTTGACGTCTGACGGAGTTGACGTAAGGGCATGTATTTTCCCTCCAAAACATGTATTGTACACTGCAGCTAGGTACTTTTTACTCAGTGGCTAGCTGGCCCAATAACCTCACTAAAATGCTTAAATTCAATCCACTATGGTTTAAAAAAAAGTATCTCAACTGAAAGACAGTATTGACAATGTGCAGCTGTGACCATAGGAATATTGACATTCTTTGTCTCAAATATAAAAAAAATTAAAACATACCAGATCATGTGTGGTAGTGTTGCATTCACCACAGACAGGGAGATAAAGAGGGGTCCTCAGAGATATAGCTGACCATGCTATTGCCTGATATAAAGAGCTTTATGAAAAATTCTGACGGAGTTGACAGAAACTGAGGACACAACTTTAATAGGCAGATTTTTATGGAAAATATGGTTTAATGTTGACTTCATGTGTTGTTTTTTATATGTATACCCCTTATTTTTTATTTGATATTCCTGTTTTCACAATTTTAGAGCATTTTTAAGTTTTTTGGGATGGTTAATATTGTGACCTATTGCTGAGGACAAGTAAAATAACATGGACATCCTAACCGAAGACAATATATTTAAACAAATTTTCCCCAAAAAGATAAAAAAGTTTATTCTAAATATCCGATAGGTATATAAAATTCCTTTAGATTTAACTTTGTAAGTATGTAAATCATGATGAATTTATTATTTTTTGCTATAAATTAGAATTTTTTATGTGGGACATGTTTTGTCCCGACTCTCAAGAATCAGTGATATATATATATATATATAAACTTTGGCAACCTTTATTACCTAAGGTGGTATGTGGCTGAATTTCTACTTCACTGCAGTAAAAAAAAAAAAACAGGTATTTTGTATTGGCCTGTAGAAAAATGCACATACCAAATGGCTCACAAGAAGTGACTGTGGATGAGATTACTGCGCGAACGCATCCCCGCAGCATTGGCACGTTGCTCCACAGGCGCAGGGAGGAGGTCGGGGTTTCTTGGTAGGGCGTCAGGGCGACTTGGCATTTAGAACGTCAGACAGCACTTCTGAAAAACGAGATTGGGAGATCCCAGATGCAAAAAAGTGCAATGTTGCAAGGAGTTTTGTGATATCTGGTATTGCGTGGGTCCTCCTTGTGGCTGGCTCCAAATCCATTCGGAGTTCCCCCAACAGCTCCAAACTGGATAAACGATATGTTTTGATGATCGTTTCCTCGTTCATTCCAAAAATATTCACACGGAGTGAAAAAATGCGTTCTCTGCGTCTCCTTGCTTCATTTCGATGTCTCCTTCTTGCGACAAAAACCGCTGCCATGTGTGCGCAATTACGCATACAGACCATTTGCACCTTCTTTTGAAACGTGTTAAATATAGAGTCAGATACCGTTAGCAAAATTGCTTTCAGGTTTAATAAATCACTTTGCGAGTGCTAAATTAATATATTTACATGTTCTCCTCCCACAAGACGCACTTTTGCGTGTAAACGCCCCATATTGCATATTCATTGCAGAAAAAGTACTAAATGGATAAGAGGCGCTATTTAGCACGTTTTAAAGACCAAATCCTTTTAGCACGCTGTTGATAGAACAGTTTGTACATTTTTTAGCGTGCGCAGTGAAATAGCTCACGTTTTTATACACGCAAACCTTTGATAGATCCGGCCCATAATGTTTTTTCACTGGAAGAACAATTTCATATATAGTTTTAACTGTTTATGTGAAACATTATCTCTTAAGTTATGAAGAAGATTAGAATTTTGCAGCAATTTATTTAAAAACAAATGGTGTGGTGGAAATTATGCGGCGTGGTGAAAATTACTGGTTGTTGTGGAAATTACAATGAATGGACCGTACAGACAACAAACCTTTCTTTTAAAACCTTAATGGAGCATAATAATAAATAATAATGATAAATAAATACATTATTTAATAATAATACGTTAAATGCTGTTGTGCATAGGTGGTACTAAGGGTGAGAGAGAGGGGGTGGCACCACCGCAAAATGCTTAGCATGTAAATTATAGTTAGAAACATGTCCAAAGTTGTCTAAAACTACGGAGCCCCTCTGATGACATGGTCAAAAAAAATGTTTAATTGTGGCCACGAAGTAGTATTTCGTGCGCACGAAATACTTATTAATAATATCAGTAAATCCGCCCCTGTTTTCAGATTTATGTTAACTGTAATGACTTATCTTGGACAGGCTGCTATGTAAACGGGCCTTTAGTCCTTCGTTTAGCTATGCTGCGGTTGTTTACACTACGCCTTTTCCACCTAAAATAGCGTCTTAGCAACAAATGTCACGTGACTGGCGGAGACCGACTGGGTAAGCAAATCGAGCGCGCCTTAGAGAAGGCGCGCTCGATTTGCTTACCCAGTTGTCCAGGAATGATATTAATATTATTAATAAGTATTTCGTGCGCACGTTAAACTTATTGCGTGGCCACGAAGTAGTATTTCGTGCGCACGTTATACTTATTGCGTGGCCGCGAAATACTACTTCGTGCACACGAAATACTACTTCGTGGCCACAATTAAACATCTTTTTTGACCATGCCATCAGAGGGGCTCCGTATAAAACAGTGTTATTTTATAATATTACCACATTGATGTAATAATAAAATGAGATAAATAAAATGTGATAACAATGGCCTTGTATGTGTATCTATAAATTACACTTACACTGTACAATGTTATTTCCACCACACCATTGTTATTTCCACTACACCATTGTAATGTCCACCAAATGTGGTGGAAATTACTGTGGTGGAAATTACAATCTGACAGAAATTGGTGGGAAAATCTCTGCTAACATCTCATATTAGCTAACAAAGGGTCTCTAGCATTTTATGCTTACAAAATACATCTATGTGTGTTAAAATAACATTTAATTTCCAAATTGAGTTGATGTTACAGCATGTTTGGAAATTATATACAATAAAAACATTTTCATTTCAAGCAATATTTACCTTGGCTTTACTTCAAAAGTTGATGGATGAAGTCAAAATTTCCACCATGTCAGACTTGTGCTGTGATGTCACTGTTCATCTCCATAGCAACTACCCAAACAATCTTTGATACAAACTTTTTAAAGGGACATTACAGTGTTGTGGTGGAAATTACGACAGTAATGTGGGACAACTATAATTGGTTTAGAAAATCACATAAACAGTTGTATTACATTAAAATACTGCTTCTGGAGGTTTCTTCCTGTCTTTCTTCTGTTAAAAGGGAGTTTTTCCTCCCCACTGTCACTACAAGCATACTTAGTGTGAGGAATTGCATTTGAGTCAGTGAGTCGATACAATCAACTGGTTTTCCTTAGATAGAAAACTGAATCAATTTGACTGTATGATCTGGTGAACTGTAAAGTGCCTTGAGATGACATGTGTTGTGAATTGGCGCTATATGAACAAACTAAATTTAATTGAATATAAATAAACCGTAATAATTTATCCTTGAACCCCCAAAATACCAGATCCATACAGGCGCTATGCTTCAATTGGCAGGATAACAAATTTGCATTGGTAAGGTTTGGCTAAAGACATAATATATTTAATATTACCTCACACAGAATAATGTGTAAACTGAGTGGTATAGTTGGTAGAAATACAAGTTGAGTCTGTGGTTATTTTATATTTAGTATTTTTAAGTGTGGGGGAAACCATAGTACACAGATAGAACACAAGTACCTATAAGAACAGGTACCTCCATGCTGAAATGTTTTGATCTATTTTTAAACCTCAAACCTTCCCCATGGCAGGGGACATACATATCAAGTGCTCTACACTGCAGGTTTTGGGATATATAAAGTATTGTTTTAATTGAATTGTATATCAGTTATGTTTTCATTGTTGAATCAGTTCTAAATGTATTTAATTTCAGTTTCAATCACACTTACTAAAGAAGATAAACTTTGGCTAGGAAATTATTCACATAGTGATGAAAAGATCTCCATTTCTAGGGTTCTAGCAAATGTTCAGCATCATCAATAACTTGATCTGAATACTTGGGATTCACACACCAATACAAAGCAAAACAGAAAAAAAAATACTGTTGCACAATTTGAGGTTTACCAGATTCTTAACATTTTCCTTAACCCTTTCTCGTTAAAGTGCCCTTAAACTGAAGATTGCAGAGGCCAAAGATGGGCGTTTCATGGAGAAAGACAGACGTATTCTGGAGGAGCTGAAGAGTCTTTACCTTGAACCACATCCCTATATTAACATCTTTCCGTCAGAATCTGACTTCAGTAGGTTATATTTGTCATCTAAGATTTTTATTATACATTCCTTTTTGTTTAGATTTGCATTATTAATGTGAAAAAATAACTGAAGCTTATCAGTACAGTTTTAAGTCTTCAATTAAAAAACATTACAGCACCTAGAATATATTAATAATAAGTCATATAAAATGTGCAAAGAATTCTTGGTTGATATTTAAAGTTTGTACTGGTAAAACAGAACATAAACATAATACAAAAAATATTTTTTTTCTTTAAAGACAACAACCTTTTCTAAACTCTTGGGGGCTGGTGTATTTAGAAGCCTAGTTTGCTTGTATTTTTGGCCAGGTTTACTGAATATATTTTTTCAGCTCATGATTGATCATTTAGAGTATAGGGAAAAAATGTGCAAAAAAACTATGAAGGTTATTTTGTTTCAAAACTATTTGTGCATTGTAAGTGCCCCCCAGGGCTGAAACTGCTAGTGGAGTGGAGATAGATGAAGTTGGTCAGTCTGTAGACTGCTGGTTAGCATGACGGTCTGCTGAGCTTTATGGGGAGATCCAATGGACTGAGTGGACTGATACTAAAGCTTCACTCAAGGACCTGGAAGATGTAAGTCCGGTTTGGTTAACACAGGTTAAGAGAACCTGTCCATGATGAGCAAGCATGGAGCGACAGTGGAGAGGAAAAACTCCCCATTGGGAAGAAACCTCTGGCAGAACCATGCTCAACATGGTGGTCTTCTGCTGGACCGGTTAGATGAGACAGGGAACACAGTAAGAATCCGGGAGGAATGAAACTCTGATGAAGCTTTAGCTACAATGATGGAGGAGGGGCTGGAGTTGAGTTGAAACGGGGTCATCTGAATGAAGTCACACAGCACAGCTCTGCCCGTGCGCAGGAGCAGACAAGTGCAGATCGGAGGGCCTTTTAAAGGTACACTATGCAACCGGTGTTGATTTTCCAGCGAGGCTCCCCCCAGAGGGCGAAAGTAAAAGTGCACTGTTGTAAATATGCACAGCTGTTCTCCTGGTTTCTCCGTCAAGCCAGGCACGGTTGTTTTGAGCTTAATAGACAGGCGAACGCAACGAATGACTAATGTTGCATTCACACCGGACGCAGTTGGCGCAACAGAAGCAGCGAGTTTACATGCAAAGTCAATGGTTGACGTGCGTCAAGGCGCAGCAAAAGGTCCCGCGGCGCGTTTTGAGCAGCAGGCGCAGCGCGTCTGAGCAGCTGAAGCAGCGCGTCGGGCGCGTTTAATCATCTGACGCAGGGAGAGAGACACAGCGCTGATGATCACTCCTCTTAAACAGTTTATTGACGCCTAAATTAACTTAAAATGCAGAAATCTGCCGGCAGAATATGTTGGCTTTTATTATCCTGCTGCCAGCAGTTTGGATTATTTAGATGAAAAACACCTACCAGCCGCCGCGGTGAACCGCGAGGAGGCGACCCGGCCAGAGGCTGCTGATCAAGGGATTCCTACTGTCGGCGCACCGCTGGTATGTGGGGGTCTGAGCGGCTCCGACAGAAAAAATATTGAAGGCAGGATGATAACCTGAATGAACTGACTGCACTGATTACGTTTTCAGGTGTACTTTCTCACTTAAACACATATTAAAACTACTTTATTCCCACTGATCACAGCAAGGTGCAAGGCAGACAAAAGGACAGTAAAGCTCCGCCCAACGCGCGTCAGACACACTTTTGCACCGCGCAGCCAGAGTAGCAAAGCTGTTTCAGCCGCGCGTCAGAACTAACTGGTACAAGCAGCAAAAATGAAGCAGCAGACCTGATTTTGCTGCGTCCAATGTGAACGTAGCATAACTGCACAAAGATCGCCACTGTGCTAGCAACAAGCATGCTTTTAAGTGGGGGCGTGTAGCAGTTCTCGCCGTAAAGCAAGACTGACTCTCGCAAGACTTCTGAGCCTGTGGGTGCGGGTCGGTGCTCCTGCAATTGCAAGTGCAGTGTTTCCCCCACAGACCACCAGGGCGGCCGAGAATACCTTTGTTCAACCTGAAATGACTCATTTAATCATCCAAAATGTTATGGAACACTTTAATTAACTGAAAAATGTTGCATAGTGTGCCTTTAAAATGAACTTTGGATGCCGATTGGCTTTTGTGGAGGTGTGGTTCAAAGCTGATTGGCTGTGTCACAGGTGGATGAAGGAAAGCAATGAGTTTCTTCAGTTGAACTTCTGCATAGGCTCCATTTGTGCATTGTAACTTTGGTGTTTAGTAACTAGATTTTTTTTTATCGGTCACTATTTTTAAAAAAAAAGTTACACCTCTTCAAATTCTTGATTACAACTACACAAATTGTGTTCTGTGAGTTGCACATCAAACATGTCTTCAGTTCAGTTTTGCTACAGTTGATCTAAAAAAATGGTGCAAAAAAAATTCAAACACGTGTATTAAAATCTTTAAAAAAAATTATATAGTATATATATTTTTCCCTTAACACAAATAATAAATATATTCTCTCTATAACTTCAAATTCACACTTACAAAAATAGTTTTGAAGCAAAATAACCTTCCTAAAAAAATCCATAGGTAAGAGCTGATGTGATGGAAGGTCTAGCTTAATAGTTATTCTTAAAAACGTCCTGTACTCATTCTTTCTACTAGAAATGGATTAACTCCATGAACCAGGCGGTTAATAGGGTCACAGGAGATGAGCAAGAGGCCAAAAAAATTGGAAAAAGTGGAGACATGGAAGGTTAGATGAACACAAAGATGGGAAGTTTGAGGCAGTCTACGAATTTTAATAAATATAAATCTTGAATGGACCAAGGTACTTAAGGCTGTTTATTTGGTTCTCCTGTAGGCTTTAAACTCTACAGGAGAACAAGAATCTCTGCGGGAGGGAATTCTGAAAAGCAGAAATGTGATCTTATTCTGTTTGAATAATTTTGAAGTGCATCTTTGGTTTTGGTCAAAATTGAAAGTTGGTGTCTAACTGATGATAAAATAGCAAAACGTGGAGAAAAGATTGACATCCCACTAAGCTTTAAAGAGGAACATACAATACAACAAAGACATCAACTCAACACAGGACGTTCTGTCTCAGTTTTTTAGTTGGAAAGGTACTTTTAGCTTTGCAGAAAAGTTTCAGAGCTCTCCTGGAGACTTATTTTGATAAATTCTCTTAGATGGGTATCAGCGACCAACAATGACAATTGTAAGCCTACAAGAAAAGCTAATGCCAAGCCTTCTCTTCCTGTTTTTTTTTTTTTTTTTTTGTCATGAGTAAACATTTTGTGTAATAATTTAAACCTATATACCCTTTTTTACAGCTTTCTGGAAGATTCTAATGGAGGGTCCGCCTGACACTCCTTATGAGACAGGAACATTTGAGCTCTATTGCCAGTTTGGCCCTGACTACCCAGTGAAGCCTCCAACAGTTCGCTTTGTGACCCATGTATCCTATCTAAAATTTTCACAAGTTCAAAATTGTACATGTTTAATATCAATGTGTTTCTTTGCATAGGACGATAATTTTTCTCTACTGTAGCCTCTACCTCATCAAATCTAGATATTTGGTTTAATGCTTGTGGGTTATCCTCTTATTGAAGCAGGCAAAGCAGTGAAAGAATTGAACAGCCAAAGATGCGGTCAACTAGTCAAGACCGGCTGACTGTTGATGGGTGTATTAGCACGTTCACAGGAAGGTATAGGAGCAATTCAAGACCTCATCACACTAAGGCCCAAGGAGAAGAAAGACGCCAGCTAATCCAAAATGAGGTCTAATTAGGAGAAATAAGATTTGGATGCAGGAGCAGAGGGTGTGGACCAGCAGGGAGCAAGGCACAGGCTATTTCATATAAAAATATCATGGACAGGGATGTGGAAACCAGAGACATATCAGATCAATTTTGCAGTCCATCTTGGATATCATACGTCTTTATTCAGTTTCTTCTGCTATGGCGTGGGTAACGTCTTACTCTACCTGCTGTACCAAAAAATAATGGTCACTGGAGCACATCTTAATCTGGTGTGCATCATTGGGAGAAGAATGTCACTGCTAGCGCCATAATGAAGTACTGGAAGTCATCATTACTTGAAATCCAGAAATTGCAGCTGTCACTCAGCTGATTTTTTAACTATTTGACAGTTCACTTTAAAGGCAAAAGTAGGAGGCCTTCGAGAGGAAAGGGGCAAGTATGAAAGTTGGTAAGTGAATGTTAAAGAAAGCTACTTAAACACACAAACCATGGCCTGATCAACACTTTCTTTCAGTAGTCCTGGGATACTTAGATGAAAATATACCTGAGTAATTCAAGTATTTCAATAAAATATTTTTATCTGTGAAGTTATTTTCCTTAAAATTAAAGATATACCACTGCAACATCAATAATGTGGGACGCATCTGCCACAACATTTTTGATCGGAACTACAATGCTCAGATCACAATGAGAGATATTCTTGAAGCTGTGTTTGGCCTGCTGATTGCTCCTGAGCCAGATGACCCGTTGGACAGGTAACCAGTGTCACCATCTTACTAATTACCACATATTCATGCTATATATTGGAGTGGGAAGCTAGCTCATGTAGAATTTGAAATTATCAGGTGATTTTTCAAAACTTAAGAGACCTTACACATGACAATAAAACTTTTTTTTCTCTGTGTACAGTGGCCTATAGAATCCAAAATCTGTGCAGTCCTTTAACCAGGATTATGATCCTACATTTAATTATTTTGTAGTTTGCTTTTTAGTTGGATTTCCCTCTGCCATTTATAGTGGTTGGATCTGAATAAAAAGTGTTGTTTAGCGGGTAAAAACTGCAAGTACCAAAATATGAAATAAAATTTTTTTCTTCTAGGCAAGTTAATGAATTTTTACCATTTTTTAACCAGAATCAAGTAAAATATTTTAGTGAACTGATCAAAGCAGTCTTAATTTTATTTGTATGTGAAGAAAAAAACAAAAACATTCTTACATTCATGCTAATTGTTGTTGTTTTATAAAGGAGAGATCAAAGCTCTGATGCAGCATCTTAAGCCAACTCATGGATCAGCTTCTCTGATTTGTTGACTTCCAGCAATGAGCTGCAAAAGTTAAGAATTTTAAACTCCAGAGCATGTTTGGCTTGGTGGACACCACACACTACAGGATATAGGGCCACAGCAATCCAGCATGTTGGATTTCCCTGTTTTGCGTGGTCAAAATGGTGTACTAAGCAGACTTTATCTCTCTGAACGCACCACACATGACGCATGACATTTCAGCGATTATTAGCACCGAGAGGCTGTCGATATCAAGGGCTCTTGGAAGGGCAAAAATCGACATGATTATGTTGCTATGTCAACAAGCCTTAACTTGTGAACAGAAACTGATAATCCAAGTTTAAAAAAAAAAACTTGTGCAGAGATAATTTTCAACCATATGAATCTTCAGCTTTACAGCAAGAACAAATCACAAATACTTAAAACAGTGGTCTCGAACTCCAGACCTTAGGAGCTAGTGTCCTGTAACTTTAAAATGTGTCTCTGCTCTCACACACCTGATCCCAACATAAGCTCATCAGCAGTGCTCTCTGTAGCTTGATTGCAGGCTTGTCAGTTTTTTGTAAGTTTACCAGAAGATTACAAATATATTAAATAACTAGAACTGAAAGTTATAGTTAATTAACAATTTAACAATTAAGGGTAAAACTAATTAATTATTATCATTTAAATAATTATAACTGTAATTTGCTTACTGAACAGGGTTCATAGTCTTTATAGCCTCAACAGGTTGGACTCCTGAATCAGCTGTTAAAAATTCTGTTGCCTCCACCAATTTAGTAATTTGGGCTATGGCTATCAGCAGAGTTATTAATCACCAACCAAATAAATATGTCTCTGTTCATTCGGATGCAATTAAAAGAAGAGTAAATCCAGCCAATCCAAGTGTGAATCCAAGTGTTTAATTGTTCACTCTGTAAAGAAAACTCATCAGACCATGGGTTAAAATACAATGGTACCTTTATTAGCTACTAATCACACAGTATTATTATATGAACGCTAATAAAAATAAGCAAATAAACAAATAAAAGGGGAAGAGGGATTAAGGGTCAGTTTAAGATCCTCTGATGAATGTTCGACTTTGAAGGCTTAAAAGTATAGTGGAGGTTTTTCAGGGATTTTTGAAAAGACCCACCCTCTCCACTATAAAAAACATACATAACCCTGTACCTGCTGCCACGAGGGAACACCTATTAAATGTGTGCGAGACAGCTCTGTTTAAAAGTTGCTGTTTGCATCGCTCTTACAATCTTACTTTCCCAAAGAAGATTTGCATTTTTTTAACATGTCAAACTCACCACCTGTAAGAAAAAATGGGGACGAACACGTAGGACAGCCCTATGTAAACATATCACCGAATGATTGACAATTTTGAGGAGCACTTACTTTGATGATCCACCCGGAAAAATAACATCCTCCACTAAACATTTAATGCATTGAAAGTTGCTTTAAAGTAGTTTCAGATAAATAAGAATAAACCCTGATGCAGAGATGTTAAATGCAGTCAAAACGGTGCATTTTGATTCGGTTTATAGTGAAAAATTTATAATGACTCATGAATGCATTAAACTGTGATGAGGCTGAAAGAAGAGGGTTAGTTAAGCTGATAAGGGCAGGTCCACCTGAAACAAAGGAAAGGTTAAAGTTCACAAGTGGTCTCTACAGTGTGTCCAGCATGAGGTAGTTGGACCTTATGATGCTAGCCAGTCCAGTGAACATTAGCATTTAGTTCGAACTATCTATTCTACATAGTTCACCCAAGCAGAGCACTTATTAAGCATCAGTAGGAAAGGGGGAAGGATGGGTGTTAATATTTGGTTAGGTGGAGTGGAAGGCCTTCGCCTCGGTTCGGTTCTTTGCAGGACCTGCATTCAGTCCAGTCCGTTCATCCAACAGCAGCCCTCAAAGAGATTTGTGTTAGTCTGATTCAATAACAAGGGGCAACTTTGTTGGGGGGGGTTAATGTTTTAACGCACGGCAGCCCAGGATGTCTCCCTTTACCTATCGCAGTTTGCTCGCAACGCCCCTCATGGAGCAGCTTTCTGGCGGGTCCTCTTAGGCAGGATCAGTAAGGCACCGGTCAATGGTATCAAATGGCTCTTCCGCAAACAGCAATTAGGCCCCGCTGTTGCTCCTTCAGCGGTAAGATTAACGTTCCCAGAGCAAGATTAGCTCTCCCTCTGCTGTAGCAAGAGGTTTCAGGAAACATTATGTTCAACTCGGTTTGAATTGCATGAAAAAAAAAAACAGCCACTACCATCAGCTCCTTCTGAATCGTAGGAAGGATGATCACTGTGATTATCTCTTTCTGGATTGTAGGAAAGGTGGTTTGACTGGGTCTAGCAAACATAGACCTCTCAGGAGGGATTTGGTCGCTACATATTGTAGACTTCAACTGAGAAACGCTTAGCCTGGCCTTTAGCAGCCACGGGCCACCGGCAACATAAAGTTGATTAGGTTTTATTTCCTTTAAAAACTCGGTCAGAGGGATGTGCATTCAGAGGGGAGTAGTCCCAGTTACAGCATCAACATTTGATCCCAACATCAGGTAGCTTAGCCATTTATTTCAGGTGTGTAGGGTGAGGGACATATCTAAATCTTGCTGGACATTGCCCCCCAAGAATTTGAGTTTGAGACCGCAAGTTTAAAATTATCTGGTTATATGAATAGTATGAAGGAAAAACAGGTGCTAGATTTACCCACCATTGTTTGGTAGCTGTTTTAATTTTGACAGGTGAAGTATGCACTATTGTTAATAAGGAAAAAAAAGGAATTTGTCTTGTCTATGGCATAACATACAGACAGTGGTGTAAGAACTTTTTTTTTTAACCCATATGCTACATTAACACAACTGATGAGATTTGAGCAGCAATTAGGCCTTTGCTGCTTCATCTTTGATACTACACACAAAGGTCAGATGGTCCAGTAAAGTGTACAGATGCATCTAATGATTTTGCTGCTCTTGTGTTCAATGGCAGTGAGTCTTTTCAATATTTTCTTAAACGATAAAGTATACCTTAAAATTGTCTATGCACTTAGATCATCTAGATCAGCGGTCCCCAACCACCGGGCTGTTTGTATTTGATTTTATCATTTTACTTGATCATATCAGCGCCTTGCCGTTGGAAAAAAGTATTCAAGTATTCACTTCAGTTAAATAGAAAGGCAGATTGATGGATTTCCCTGTGGGGCATTTTATTACATCTTTTCAAAGAGAGAACAGTCAAAACAAATTACATACACTTTGATTAAACAGTAAAATTTTATGAATAAACATTGAGAAAGAATTTGGCTTGTTATGGGAATAAGTCTGACTGTCTACAAACTCTCCGCTCACTCAAATTTTGTGGCCTTGCAGGTGAAACAGACTGAGTAAAAATATTTTTTAATGAGTAAATAGCATAAATTAATGCATGAAATAGGAAATTAATAGATATCAAAATTTTCCGACCACAGTGGTTTAGTAAGAAAAACTTATTACTAAATACAGCAGAGCAATAGAAATCATTGAACCTCAGAAAAGTCAAGAGAACAACCCCTACCACCAAAAACAGAGAGGATATTAACAGAATAAAAAACATACAACTAGGGTAGCCAATAACTGTATGCTATTACCCTAAATAATTGCATGCAGGTATTGTATCAGAGTTCAGCAATATTAACGAACATTCTATTCAACATATTTACTATTAATATTGATTAGATGTCTATTGTGATATGTATTGTTGTTTTTTTTTATTGCACAGCCCCTGCTGTTACACCACAAATGTTTTATAATTCTTACCATAAGGAAAACATAGCCATACTGCAGGCAGCTGTATATTCAAGGGGCGAAAAACAGAAAAGGTATAATAGGTACATAATTTTTGAAATAATAACTTATTAATTTCATTTGGCTACATATTGTCATAAGCTCAGAATATAGGATCCAGAAGTTCTGAAGGGAGGGAACAAGACAAAAAAAAACACACTAAAACGGGGTCACTCTAAAGGGTGGTCCGCTTAGCCACCTAAAAATAACTGGGGCTTAAAAAAAGATCAGACCCGCTAAAGCCTCGGGGGCTCTCCCGACTACAGGGTTCAGGCTCTGGGACTGGCCCACTAAGGTGCTCAGGCTTGGATACATATGGATTGTGGCTAGCGGAGGGAGGTAATCGGAAGGAAAATAGGTCTTCCTTATGTACATAAAAAAAACATCCACCAGATCAGATTCAGAGTAAGGGGTAGAAAAACAATCAGCTTCCGTGGGTGCCGGGGCCGTCGTTACTGGATGGTCATGAGATCTTGGTAACAGGAGAGCTGGGGAGGCAGAGAGTCTAGTATGACCCAGCCAAGTTCCACCCTTTATAGGACAAGACTTCACTAGATTTCCTTGTAGAAAAACGGGTTAAGCTGCTGACATCAATTCTTCCCCTCCTTGAACAGGCCTGTGCATCCCAACTGCATCCGTTTGGGATCTGGCATACAAGCCGAACCAGAAACTGACACAAGTGCGAAGGGAGCGGGGCGAGGAGCTGGTCGAGGGAAAGTCGACTTCCGCGGATAACAGATGGAAGTCAGTGATAAAATCCATCACAGATTGATCACCCTGACTAATTGACAGAAGTCCTCTGGAAGCTTCCCTACTAGGAAGAACTGGGAAAAAAACTTGGATTAGTTCCTCAGAAAAATCCCCGCAAGAATTACGCAGGCGAGGATTGTTTAGCCACTCTGACTTTCCCCACTTTCTCTCTGTTGCCCACTAACAGAGAGATTACGTATGTCAATTTAGATCCATCAGAGGGAAACGCGGAGGGCTGAAATTCAAAGTGAATCTGAAATTACGTCAAAAAGGTCCGACAATGTTATGACTCACATTTTGGGAGGGGACAGAGGTGCTTCAAGACAAGCTGATCTATCAGCAGGTGAGGAAGGCATGGCAGCTGTCAAAGGCGGAGGAGCGGGAGTGGAGGTAGCCTGATTACGCAGGTAACTAAGAATCTCCTGCATGCCTGATTCAAGCCAGGAAATACTCTGCTCTCCCTCTGAGCGCCACTGTCCGTCTGCCTATAGGTCCATGTTTGGCCGGTTATTCTGTCATTAGCTCAGAGCGTAGGATCCAGAATTCAGGCGAGGCAGACAGTGGAATACTAAAGTACGCTAGAAGACTCTCTACACCAAAGGCTTAAGAATTATCTTGCACCAATGGCTAAGAAACGGGGAGCTTAAATAGGAAACTGGAACAGGTGGATCTGATGAGCAACAGGGCAGAGCTAGACAGGTAAAGGAAATCAGCAATCAAGCCAGCCATCAGCACCAAAATCATGACACTTATAAATTAACTATGATATAATATATAAGATTACTCCTTGATCCTTGAATTGTCCATAGATTCTTGTGAATGTTAATAGATGTATTGTTCTTTTTTCATTAAAGCATTCTGGCAGAGGAATACTTGACCAGTAAAGAATCATATGAACAAGAAGCCAGAAAAAAAACAGAGGAAGCTGCAGCAGAAACGCTGGAGGTTAAGGAAAAGGTAACATGTTATTCTTAGTGTTTTGTTGCAAGGAAAATGGTGGTGGGGGGGAGATATGGAACCTTGAAAGTACTCTGCATAGGCTAAAAACAACCACATGGAGCTTTATTCATCAACCGTGTATATTCAGTGTTTAAATACAATTTAAAAAGTGGAGATTTACAAAATATTTAAAAAATGATTATCTGTTAAAAAGCTCTATCCTCAAACCAGAGATCTTTTCACATTTACAAGTGAGTTGTTTTGCACTTTAGGCAGAGGTGTCAGGTAACGAAGTACAAATACTTCGTTACTTTACTTAAGTACACTTTTTAGGTATCTATGCTTTACTCCATTACTTATTTTTCCTCCTAAGTCTCACTTCTACTCATTACATTTTCACACAAGTGTCTGTACTTTCTATTCCTTACATTAAAAAAAAAAAAAAGTTACTCGTTACTCTTGGCTTCATTTTAATGTTTATAAATATTTATTTCACGTCATCCAATGCAGATCATTGGCTCCATCCACATCTAGTGAAAACTAGTGTAATAGGATGAGTCATAGAACGCAAACACTCATTGTTTAGCTAAAGGAAATCATCAGAAGCCAGCAGGTGTTCTTCAAACTGTAAACGTGAATTGTCTATGCCATGCTACAATGTCTGATTCAGAAAAAGATGTTGAAGGCTGGGTTTGAGTTCATGGTCTGCATCTTCCAAGGACACAGTGTACTTGGACTGGATCCTTCAAAGTCCATGAAAATAAGGAGAACAGAAGAGTTTTGGCTGTGAATTCAAACAAACCCATCCTTCCCAAGGCATTCTCTGCCATATGCTCTGTCGCTTAGCAACTATGAGAGTTGACACACAGAGCAGGAAATTAATTAATACTGAACCTTTCAAAACTGTTTCTTTTTCTTTTTTATTGTAAAGTTTAGAAAGACTACATGACTCCTCATGAGAATCAGGAGTGGAATAAAGGTTCCAACCACCGGGAGCATGAACAAATAAAAGCAAATGTAATGATAGAAACCTTAGTCAGTTAAATAACATGCTGCTGCCATTTGGCACATCTCTGATGCTGCTTCTATTTTCAGATATCCATTACTGTACAAATGTCCATAGCCATATGATGATTGTTTTTCTCTAGGTGCTCTGTTTTTTATTTTGTTAAAACCCTTTACAGCACAGTATTTTATTGTTTATCGTTTAACTCTTCACTATTATGTTATTCTTCTACAAAATTCTAAGGTCTATATTTGTATGACAATTTTTTACAATAATCTTTTTGCTGCTATAAACACCAGAATATCCCCTTCTTGGACAATAAAGGGATTTTCTATTCTATTCTATTCTTTTCTATTCAAGGGGTAGAATGATATAAGTAAATCTAAACAATGTATTTATAAAAACATATATCTGCAAAATTTCTTATATTCAACAACTATATTCAACAACAAAAATACTTAGTTAAGCAAATTGTGCGAAATAACAATTACAAAATAAAAATCCTATCAGATTTATATTCCTCACAGTGCAGATATATTAGAATCTGTCCTAAAATTACAGCCAAACCCATTTACACAGTAACAGGTAAAAACATTTAGATAAATCAAACATTACCGCCACATATTTGACTCAACAACCATTGAAACAACTATTTTCATTCATTTCAGACGGAACTATTCACATACTTGTATATATTAAACTGAACTTTCAATATTCATCATTGTTTGGCGCCAAGTACCTTTTTCCTCTGATCAAGGAGCAGCCGGCTTCCTTGATCTCTCAATGAATCCTGGGATAACCAACGATAGCTAGGATACATCGGACCCGTCCTTCAAATCGGGCTAAAAGAAGGACGCATTTTTAGGCCATGTAGCCATGTATCGAGGAGTCTTGGAATCCGACCAGACCTCGGGCCACGCTATGACGTAATTGGTCTTTAAATCTGGCCTTCAGAGGACGCAGTCCATAAATTCAAACAGAGCCGAAATGTCTTAAAGGTCTGACACAGGTGAGAGCGTATCGGGAGATGGGGACGGAGACAAAAAAGACCTACCTCATCCTTGGCCCTATCTCTAAGAATTTTTTCGAAAAATTTAGCTTTCAATTCATATAGTGGCATCATATATATATATATATATATATATATATATATATATATATATATATATATATATATATATATATATATATATATATATATATATATATATATATAGGCCTTGGAGCTTGAGGGTTCTGTGCAGTATCTTTGCTGTTCCTAGAGCTGCACTTTTCTAGACCAAGATGTCTGATGTATTTCCAGGGATCTGCTGTAACCAAACCACTCCTCGAATTTTGAGGTCACTGCCCGAGTGCCCCAATAACCACGGGTACCACTGATGCTTTTACCCACCAGATTTTCTCCACCTCTTCTATGAGCCCCTGGTATTTCAGTGGGGAGTGGCAGCCTAGTGGTTAGGGCATAGGGCTTTGAGTCCTGAGGTTATGAGTTACATCCCCCACTCCCACAGACATCCACTCTGGGTCCCTGAGCAAGACCCTTAACCTCACACTGCTCGCACCGCACAATGACAGCCCATTGCTCCCCAAGGGGATGTTTTTGGAAGTGTTAGTTTTTGTTGGTTGAAAAGGCTGAGGACAAGAGGATCTCTACCACAGATGTTTCTTAACCCATCTAAGCCCTATTAGATCTTGGTGGTGATATGGATCCAGATTTAGAATGCTGAGGCAGGGAAATTAGATGGTTGGCGAGGGTCTCTGCTTTCCATGTGCTTTTAATTTCCAGATGTAATTTTTTGACAAAATGTAAAACTTAAGGGCTCTTCTCAGCTTGAGTAACCACTCCCTAAATTCAGAATTTTTTTTCCCCAAAACAAAATATAAAAAATCGTTATCAACTTTTGATGAGGGTTATCCTTTTGCTCTAATCTGGGGCTTTTACAATGTCACACTTGAATAAGTAAGAGTTGGATTTATCCTTTTTAATGTGAAATAAATGGATTTATATTCTTTGTGAGTTTACAATAAATAATGGCCTAATATGTGCTGTCTATTTCCATTCTAAAGGAACTGGTGGAGGAGGAAGAGAAGGAGTTTATACCTCCACATCTAATTTGTCCTCTAACCAAGAGGATATTTTGTGATCCAGTAAAAACAAGGCATGGAGCGGTGTATGAACGGAAGGCCATTGAAAAATACATAGCAAAGTAAGTCATTTTGCCAAAAGAAAAAAATTATTTTGACTCTTTGTGCAACCCCTAGTACTTAGAGAGAGACAATTTAGTGAAAATGTCTCACTTCTATCACTTGTACATTGTTTGTACAGTCAGTGAGTTACCAACTCAGCCCCACACTGGTATTTACACAAATATAATCATAATAACAGTTCAACATACTTTTTAACATAATTGAAATTTTGTGATCTGTCAACTACAGAATATAGTTAATAGGCCAAATTTGAACATAGTGCTTGAACAGTTGTAACAATCTAAAGCTCTTTTTTCTGTGTCTCTTTGTTGACTAGCCACATTTTCTTAATGCCAGCATAATTTACAGCATAGCATGTAGCATGTACAAAAAATCTTGATAGTTAGGCAAACTGATTTTTTATGCTTGGCAGAAGATGACCAGTCAGTTTATGTAGCAAGGGCAGGAAGAGCCATACTGCTGAGAGCGAACCAGTGTGGAGTGTAGAGCTTTAAGCGCAGACTCATGCTACTGTACGTTCAAATCGCAAGCAGCAAAGGCAGCAGGTCAAAGGTTGACGCGCATCAAGGCGCAGCAACAGGTCCGGCAGCGCGTTTTGAGCAGCAGGTGCAGCGCAAAGTGCTGCAAATGCGGCTGCTATTGGAGTTGGAAAAATTTAACTTTTGGTGCTTGACGCAACACATCAACCAATAAGAGAAGCTAATCTGGGAGCTGGCAGGGAGAGAGATGCAGCGCTGCTGATCCAGAGAGTACAGTTTGGATTGCGTACAGCAAAATCACCTTCCAGCTGCTGCGGCAAACAGCGAAGAGGCGACCGGGCCAGAGGCTGCCGTTGAACGGGATTTCTAGTGACAGGGCACCAGCGGTGTATGGGGGTCTGAGTGGCTCCGACTGTGAAATAATGTTTGAAGGCAGGATGGTAATCTTGATGAACTGACTGCACAGATGAAGTTTTCATGTGGACTTTCTCAGTTAAAAACATTAAAACTACTTTATTCCCACAGATCACAACATATATACTGTAGCTGCCATTGTTACAGGCAAAGAAAGGATAAGGTAGCTCCGCCTAAGGCGCATCAGATCCACTTTTCGAACGTGCAGTCAGAACAGCAAAGATGCTTAGCTGCGTGACAGAACTAAACTTGTTCAAGCATCAAAAATGAAGCAGCACGCGTGTTTTTGTTGCTCTTGCTGCTTTAGGCGTGAACGTAGCATCAGAGCTAAGCATGAACAAAGACGTTCGTCAGAGTTGAGCGGGCAATACCGAACCATTCCACTCTACTTTTACCCCTGCTGATGGTGCCATTATCCATCTGTGATCCTACAGAATGTCTACCATTGCACGCCAGGTGGGGGGCATGACCAAACAGGACGCAGCAGCATGGCTGATACTGCTCAGCAGATTACAACACAATTATTCATTTTAAACCTCTGACAGACCATCCGCTAACATTTTATTTAGTGTCGTATCCTACCATCAATGAAAACTCACACCCATGACTGGTCATGTTTTTCGTCATCAAAGTTTAACTCGTCAGTTTTCGTTATCGTCATAAATATCAGGAACATCAACAAAATAATTTTCTCATCATTGACGAAAACATCCCTGGTTTGAGGGCTATAAATGTTTGGGAAATGTAGCTTGAAGCTTCTGTGGATGCTACATTGTTACAGGGCCATAAAAGTAGCTATCACTAGTGAAAAGCTATATGATGTAGAAAAAATCGACATTACAACCATGCTACCGACAAATGTAGTTAAGCTAGTAATGATACTACATGTAATGGTGCTACTGCCCAAAAGTCATAGCAGGTTCTATCAAGGAATACTGTTTAAATAAGTAGACTCAGGGCTCAAGTAAATGGAGTCAGAATCCCTTATAAACCATTCTGTAATTAAATTAAACTGTGCAGCCTTGAGGTATTGTAAGCGAGAGGTAATGGCAAGGCCATCTTCATGAACAAGTACACATAAATAACTTTAGAAGACATGCTGTCTATTTATGCCACCATTTTGAAAGGCATAAACCCACCTGCAGGCACTGTAATAATACAGTATTTACTATAGAGTATTTACTACAGAAATATGATACAAAATGAGAAGAGAATCTGCCAGATGGGGAGTTAAAACAGTGCTACATTGCTCAACATTCTCTTGTTGGAGTGCAGGATCCCTAAAATTTGCCTGCTAATTTGTTTTCACAGGTTCAAGATTGCCTTTGACATCCCCATCTTTGCCTACAACGACTTGTATCATTATTTGGCTTTTTAAGGAAAGCAATGAAGGATTATCAAAGTTTAAATGCCTTTTTGTATTTTTGTAAACCAAGCGGGGGAGTGCACTACCTCATTCCCCTGGTGGGAGGTACGTGTGGAGGACATGCTTTGGGTAAAGCTATAATAACAGCTAGCCTGTTGGCTATTTTGATGGGGAGGCTTTCTACCAGACCAGAGCCTTACTCACCATTTTATTTCGTTCTCAAACTTCCATGCTTTGAAAATACTAAACTTATGCTTATTTTGGGCAGGGGAGCCAGTAAAGCTTCACGGCCCGTCAGGCTTATAATATGCTGGGGAACTCTAGATGGCTGTTGAAAGGTGAAATCCTTCACTTGTTTTTGACTAGTGTCAGAAGCAATCTATGTATCTTAGTTTATAAAAAATCTCAACAACAACAATTTAAGCATAAAAAACTATTTATGACGTTATTGCTGGAAATTCTGCCAGTTGTTGTTGGTTACCACCCATCTTGTTCGCCTTTCTCAGTCTTTAGGGATGTGATCAAATGAGATGCCATCTTCTTTTCTTTATCAGTTGGTACACCAATATGCACAAGATTACCCTGATTTTGTTCTTTTTTTTCAAGGTAATATAAAGAAAAACTGCAATAACTGCTGGTCATATTCCATGTAAGTGAGGTTGTTTTGCCATCAACAGGGAGGAGTCACGAGTGTCACGTGATCGGCTGACATCAGCTGCACATCCTCTATACCTTAATTTAGATCTTTTCTTGTGCAGGATTAATGAGATAATTGAACGATTCAGCAGTTTTGACAATACGTTTTCTGACAAAACAAGAGCCAATATCTGAAACAAAGAAAAAAGACAAGGAAGACAGTTCATCTTAACCAAAAGAGACAGAGGGTGGATGCACCACACATCTCAATCATGATTGATAGGTTAAAAGAGAGGAGCATAGTTCAGATTGTGTAAATGTTTTAGATTTGCGGTAATCCTAAACGGCTATAACTCATTGAGGGCTAAAGAAAAGGCTGAAAAATGTTTTGGTCAACCCCATTTATACCAAAACTCACATCAAACTGAAACACAAACAAACATTCACACCCAAAATTATTCCTCTCTCTTATTTACTCTCATAACCCTTTGCACTGGCATGCTGTATTTCGACCTCATCGCTCTGATGTTCTAATCAATGATTGTGATTTCAGTCTTTGGTTACCCCTGTCAGCCAGGTCAGTCAGAAAGTATTAACCCTCTTATCAATATCCAGCGTGTCCACCAGTGTTGTTTTCTTCAATGATGATGAATTATTTAGTTGATGATCCTTTTTTCATGACGATAATGAAAATTGATGAGCTAAACATGGATATTTGATGAATAAAATATGACTAGTCATAGGTTTAAGTTTTCGTCAACAAGACCAGACTGCAAAAGAATTAACAGGTGGTCGGTCAGACTTTTAAAAGGCATCATTGTGCTGTAATTTTGTAAGTCTTGTTTGGCGTGCAGCACCGCACATTCTGCATATACACAGATAGACACGTATAGATACGTACTGCACGCTCAACTCTGACAAACTCTACCCTTCCAGCTCTACTTGTGCAGAAATGCGTCTTTGCATGCGCATAGGTCAGAGTCTCTCAGCAGCAGTGTTGTGCCTGAACGCGTTCATTGAACGAAAGTTCATGAACTCGTTCATATTTTGGGCGAACGTGAACTGAACGTACTGCATTACTGCCAGATGAACGTTATTGTGAACTCGTTCATTCTGGTGTCTGTGAACGGCACGCTTTCTCAGTTCAGCTCCGTTCAATAGGTTGCCAGATTTCTATAGAGTCCTCCAGGCGAAACCCTGGCTAAATCACACCGTAAACAGGCCTTAGCGGGAAAAACACCCAATCTGGCAACACCAGCTACCAGTGTCGTAGCCTACAGCCGCGTGCGTCATCTAAACAAAATGCCGCGTGGAAGCCACAGCAGCGTGGAGGCGACAAAGCAGCAGTATGATCACTTAAAACAGTTTTATGACCAGGTGGTCGGTGAGGATGATGGCAACAAGTTTGCCTGCCGGCTTTCAGTAAAAAAATCCGGTCTTCAGTAACCTTAAATTCCTACCTCAGCCTGGTCCCTCAGTTTGTGTTAGTAAAATCTTCTTGAGCGGAGGTCTTCAACAGGGGATCCGCGACCCCTAGGGGGTCTACGGAGGTACTGCATGAGGGTCTGCATGGTTAGTTGATATTTTTATATTCCCCCCCTGCAATTTTTTCCCCCACTAATTGAAATGTCTTTAAATACTCATTAACATGAAATCAACACACTGTAGTAAACAGATAAATGGAGACAAAAGATGTCTTTCAGTCATCAATGCTCACATTCAGCGACACACAGGAGCTCTTTCAAGCTGGGCACCGTTTCCTTCACAACAACCAGGAATCAGAATCAGAAAAACTTTAATAATCCCCGGGAGAAATTAATTTCTTTACATTACTCCATCTGTAATAGAGTGACTATAGGACACAATTTCATACAATATATATAGTTAGGGGGTCCCCGCTCCATCTCGCCATCAGTTTGGGGGTCCTTGGTCTGGAAAACATAGAAGACCCCTGTTCTTGAGGGTTTTACTATCCATGTAACTTGTTTGTTAAACCTGCCTGGTATAATTTTCCAGGATTCCAGTATTCCTTTTTAGTATGTATTGAAATGGAATTTCAAATGGAAAAAATTATTAAAATAAAAAATAACATTTGCACCTTAAAGACTACTTTCCTATTTTTCTTTTAATAATTCCTCATAAAAAAGACCATTCAAGCAGCACATTTTTCCTGATGTTTTTGAGAATATACTGTAGGGGTGAAAGCTGCAGCTGCTACTAGTGTGAAGTGAATGGACAGCAACAAAGCGTTAAAGCAACAATGGGGAAATCTGTCCCCTCAATGCTAATGTAAACCCTGGTTGGCTAAGGATTCAAAACTGGATATGAAGATGAAATCTGACGCACAGTTTCAGTGTTACAACTGATAAAATAATTGCTGTCTGTGGTTCTACAGTAGGCTATGGTGTAATTGAGCAATTATGAAAAAAAAAAAAAGAACTATGAACTAGTTCATTTTTTGGTTTTGAATTATGAACTATGAACTGAACTAGTTCATTTTAAAATGTGTGAACTGAACTTTGAACTAGTTCACGTAGAAAGAGAACTTTCCCAATACTGCTCAGCAGTATGGCTCTTCATGCTCTTGCTACTTCATAAACTATATGTGGTTGATCACCGTCTGCCAAGTGTAAAAAATCCCTTTGTCCAACTATCCACATTTTATTTCTTTCAACTCACAAGAGGTCATACTAAATATTTTTTTATTTCTACTAAAACGAATCCCTAAATTATAACAAAGAAAATATTCTATAACATACGGTTTCTTATAAAGACCCAGGTGAAAAGGTACATAGATCTTTGAATATTTCTCTCTCATTGTTCCCATGTCTATCTATTTAGACATGATGTAAATGTTTCTTGGTAATGTCATTAAAATATTTTCTCTGTTTCCTTTAAATATTTCAACATTAATTAGCATATTCATTCAATTTAGATCTGGATTGCTATGTAATTAAAAGGCAATTATGTAGGTTCTCTCTGTATTTTTTTTTTTAAACCAAAACCCTGTGAATTTAAATCTACACTCACCCCTGAGCAGTGATAACCAATGGCCAAATTGAAAATTTTATTATGTGTGTAATGCATAATTCATAATAGTTTAAGAAGTGTTAGCTTGTGGATGGAAACATTTCACAGTATATGTAAAACCATTCCTTTATTGTACATTTTCTTAGCTTGTCTGTCTCCTATATTAACCAATATAATGTGTTTAACTAGAACTGCTATTTCCACAGCTTTTGTGAGACACTGTTTTATAAAGTAAGGCAGCAATTCATATAAAAATTGAATTTTAATTATATAAATCAAAGTTTTTGTACAAACAGCAATTCTGAATAGCATTGCAGCATTCTACACCCATCTATTATCATATCTAGACTAGAGCTGTCAGTCTGGTAAAGAATATGGTTGTTATTCGAAATCATAAATGTTAACTTTTTTTGCATTATAACTGACTGAATCTAGACTAAAACCTTTTAAAGTTTTATTCGACCAAAACAGACTAAGACTTTCACATATCATAATGACTAAAATGCGACTAAAACTAATAATAGCTTTCGTCCTGAAGACTAAGATTAAATCTAAGATGGCTGTCAAAAACAACACTAGTTTCCACCCATCTAAACCCCTTTTTCTGGTTGTTCTCTACTTATTTTATTTTTATGGATAAATTGCCACTGTAAAATACCTTGAGATGACAACTGTTATGAATTGGCACTATACAGTAAACTGAAATGAATTTGAGTTTGCCTGTTTAAAAATTCAGTCATCCAGCTAATGGCAACCAAACACAGGCCTAAATTGGAAGGCATCCGGTGAACGCCTATCCAGAATTCACTGTGAATTCTGTTGACTCACCCCAAAGCAAACTCTAGCTTGGTGCGCTGATGTAAATAAGCCACGTGGAGGACCAAACTCTTGCACACATTCCAGGTCAGGTACTTATCAAATAGCCACCCCATATACTGTAGCTAAACTGCTGAGGCAGTAGCAGGACAGAAGGGATTTTTATATTGTGTTGAATTCACAAATACTGTGAGAATTAAGCTTGCAACCAAGGTTCCTCCTTTTCCTTCCTCAGTGTAAATCCATACGTGCCAGGTTTATTGGGTCTGATTGGGACTTGTTCTTGGTCCCAAAAAAATGAGGGTCTGAGTTTGATTATAACAAAGGAGGTACAAATATAAATTGAGAGTGATATTTTCTAGAATTTTTCAGTGACTCTATATTCTCTTATAGGTGGAGGTGGGATCCCATTGCTGGAGCAAAGCGTGTACTCAGAAGAACAGACCTAAAGCCAGACAAAGCGATGAAGTCCATGGTGACAAGCCATCGTAAAGGACAACTTGAGACATACGTTTAGCCACTATGAAAATAAGTTTTTTTTTTTTTTTTCACTATGAGGGGCCACATTTGATCATAGGTTAGATGTTCCAACTTCTTACATGATGGAGTATAAAGTCACATGATTCAATGTTCCACCCATCCTTACAGTGAGTGTTTGTCCCTAGTAGGATAATTAAGCTGCATAGGAGAAATGTTTAATCTTGAAATGTGGGCTATTGTTAGGTTTGAAATTATGTTATCTTGGATTTCCTACAGTACATCTAGTATATTGCAAAAACATTCAACCCCTTGGCATATTTCATGTTTTGTTGTTCCTAAACCTTGAATTGTAATGGATTTTGTGAGACTTTCAACAGAATCGTTACCAGGACGTCCTTACAATTCTGATTCTTTGTTATGTACAATATGTAAACAAATATAACAAAAAAGCGTAGCGTAGAGGTTTTCAAACTTCATCCTTAGGACCCACTGTCCTGCATGTTTCAGGTCTTTCCCTGCTTCCACACACCTAACTTATATAAAAGGGTGATTAGCTGGCCCCTACAACCTGTGGTTGCTCACGAGGAGTTAATAAAATCATTTGATGCATATGTGTCCTGCAGAAAAACAGCTAAAACATGACGGACAGTGGATCTCAATGATCAACTGCGTTTGAAAACCACCAGCCTAGTGGCAACTGCGGTCTAAACTGCCACATCATGTGACAATTTTATTCCACACAGCTGGACTTTAGTTTATCAGTTATCTTACTCTTAAAAGTTATTTACTGTACCAGAATGTTTTAAGGCTTTACAGTAAATGGGTGGATAACTATAAATAGTGCAGCAATCAGTTAACTTGTCATTAATGTTCTAATTAAAATATGAAAACAATTAGAATCATACTACAGCTACCAGTCTGTGTATGAAGAGTTTTTGATACATTATTGTTAAGGGTTCATCTTTCCACAGTCTAAAATACGTCCCAGGTATTCAGATCCCTGTTAAGAAAAGGGGAACAATTATGTACACATTTTGGATTGATAAATAAAGCGAAAAAAATTAAGTGTGTTTAAAAACAAAACAAAACTCATATTTCAGGTGGTGTCGAGTTCAATCGATTAAAAATCATTGCACACAAACTTGACTCTTTCACATTTTAAACATGAGGTCTAAATGCATCCTAGATCAGTTCTACTGTATTATTCCACAGATTACAATCAATGACTTAAAGACTTAAAGAAGTTAGTAACCCATGTGACCAAAAGTGTCTTAAAACAGACTTTTTACAAAGAAAACCTTATAAACCTGCAAATATCAACCAATATTCAGAATCGGAAAAGTTGGTTTAATGACAGTTTTAAAAAGGTACATCAATTTTTTTTGCAGCGAATGCTTAGTACAGACAGTTCTTTAATCTATCACAGAGACCTGGTTTAAATTTTCTAAGTTTTATCTTTTTTGTGTGTTTGTCTATTTTTGTGCAATATTGGGATAGTTACTATACAGATTTAAATCTGTTTAAATTCATCCAAAGTGTTTTTTTCAAATAGAAAATGGGACAGGCATCTGTTTATAAGATAGTGAAACAATGTAAAATTAGCCTCAATTTGGAGAAAAAATCCCAAGCTGTTTGATTTTTTTGTGGTCATTTTATTAAATGTTTTGTGAGGAATTTGTATAATTTTTTATTTGTGAGAAAGAGAAATCTTCACTGGCATTTCATAAAAAGAGCACATTAAGTCTCTTTTACTGTTATTTTATAACTTGCATTTACCTATGAACTGCAGGTTTTGGAAGGCATTTTCATCTTAATATTAAGCAACATTCAGAAATTCTTTGGTCCAGATATCAGCTGGGCTACTTACGAACGTTACTATTTACAATAGGAAAAATGTCAAGGTAAAAGGAAGGTTAAAAGATAACTTAAAATTTCATTAGATGTGAATCTTTTTTTTTAAATCTTAACTGTACAAGGGAAATATAGTTTTAATACTAGTAGTTAGAAAAGTATATCTACACAATATTGAATCAGTCTTTTATTTAAAAAAAGTTGTTTTAGAAACGATTTACATATATTTATACTGAAAAGTAAAAAAAAAAACTTTTACATTAAGTCAGAGATTTTTGAATAATGCTATTACATTTGACAAAAGATTTAAAATAAAACCTTGGACACCACACTGAATTGTTCTGTATAACCTGGGTATAAATTAAACTATTACTGCAACTGATTTACTTTTTTAAATCTGATATTTTGATCAACTATAAAAGGGTTTTACTTAGAGGAAATATTGCAATAACTGATTGTATTTTCAAGTTTATTATTTGTATTAGTATGATTATTTTCTGAACGGTCAAGTACAATAATAGTTATGGGGTGAGTTAAGGGAAATCTTTGATGTATTTTTAACATTTTGAATTAGATTGTGGTTTTTAAAAATTGAATCCTATAAAACTTTATATTGAGTACATATGTCTGGAGCAACAGATTGATTGTGTTTTTGTAATTTGAATAAAAATGTATTTGGGGAATGGATCTTTTTTTTACCTTACCTCTGTCATTTACACATGTGCCTCTGTATCCTGATTAGCAAAGTATTGATATACAATTGCTTTTGGAACACCTACCCCAAATATACACATTGTGTTAAAATTTTATTACATCTTAAAACCAATTGGTCTATGAGAAGAACAGGAACACTCAAGGCTAAGAACCGAAGCTATAACCTTCTCTTCTCCGGGCCATCTCTCAGAGAGCTAGGCGATCCAAAGCAGTGTGCACCTAGGCATGGGCTCAGATGGATGTCCATTTTATTTTCTCTGTCTCTCTGTCTTGCTCTCTGTTAGTTTAGGGGAACCCAATAAGCACCAATGAGCCATACTCATCGGGTTAGCTTCAGGATGCCTGCTACCATCAGAAGCAAAAGAAACGGCTTGAACTAAGCCTCCTGGAGCCTATCCAGGCCATGATGCAGGCCAGCAGGCCAGAGCAGTTTCAATGTGTCCAAGCGCTTACAGTGCTTCAGCTACCTCTACTAGGGCTGATCAATGCTACAAAATGTTTTTTATTATCTTCAGACTTGCACCACCTACAGCAGAACCAGGTGCCATGCTTAGTTAGCTATCCGCCCAGGGTGAGCCCTGGAGCAGACATGCAAAAGGCAGTGGAAGGGTCTTCTTAGGACCTAGGTATGGCAGCCTGGTGCCTCGAAAGGGGGCTTCCTTCTAGACGCAAGCTACCTGTCCAGTGTAGTGAGCTAAGCTATCAGTTAGCTTCACTACACAAAAGCTACCACCTAAAGAATTATAGCAAGCTAAGTTACACTAATGTGTTAAAAGTAGCTTAACTACATCAGAAGCTACTTAACGTTGTACCAACCTAATGTCAATTCAAAATGAGTCTGACAAACTGGTTAAAACATTTATTAAAGATCAGCCAATGACATAACACAGTGTAAACATTGCTTTATGATCAGCATATTAAAATAAAAACTGAAGTAATTACTAGTAGACAAACTAGTAAACAATCTGCTGTTATTAGAACCAAATTAAAGGTACTGTGTAGTGTTCTACAAATCGAGACATGGCTATGAGTTTGCATTCAATGGACATCTCTAGTCAAAACAAAACCCTACAAAAGGCATCTTATTTCTTTAGGGTCTCCCTTAGAGAAAACTTCTTCAGACCTCAATGAAACAGTCGATTCAAGTAACAAATGAAACTGTTTACAAAAGAAGGTGAAAAAATAAAGAAGCTAATTAAGTGATACATATATTTATGTCTCACCATATAATTTAATTTCTACCTACATATTTATTCATTGTATTTTGGGGGGTAATTAATTGAATGCTTATTTATTTATTGAGCATGTATTTATGTATGTATTTATTTTATATACGGTAGAGCTGTTCCTCCATACCTAAAAAATCTTATCTGTGCAAAGCCTAAAAACAGATTTATGTAAACATCCTGTCAGGTAAACTAGGCCAAGAAAATACAATATAGAAGTTTCACTACTGCTCTCTAATTAGAGTATCTTAGTGGCACACATCAGATTGAACTATCTGGAAATTAAAGGTGCCAATAAAGTTAAAGCTGATATATATTTCACATTTTTATTTCAAAAAATATACTGTAGTTGACTGTTTTAATTAGTGTTTGGCTATGTAAAACAAATGGCTAATCTTGGCCACATGAGCTCTCTATGGCCAAGAACCTTGAAAATCACTCATGTTACAATTATAAAAATTGTATAAGTTTTTTTTTTTTTTTTTTACACTTCTGCTTAGCCACTTGGCTAGTCCCTTTCCATCGCACACTGCTTGTTGGTAGGTGGGTAGCTTTCGTTTTACTAATTTACATACGGCATTTGGCTAAAGTGAGTTGGGATTTACACTGACGCTAGATATTTTCACTTGCATATTGCACGAGGGAAATTAGTGATTCACCTGAATGTGAGTTCTCAGGTTGGTGCTCGATGTGCTGGACGTTGATAACAGTTTGGTTTTTGGATTGCAAAGCAGACATCTGTACACTTATTTTTTTATCTGATGATTCAACAAGTTTCATAATCTCTGAAGATAAGGTAGGGACAGTTGGCTGCTCTTCTCGCTCTGCTCCTGTCTCCTCCTCCATCCTATGTGTGGCTCTGTGTGTGTGCGTGTGTCTGTGTGTGTCTTTCTTTGAGTTCCACTGCCGTGCGAATGCGTATGTTTCGGTAGATACACACAGAAGAGGCAGAATAGAGGCTCATGCGTGAATGTTCAATGAATAACTGATTGTTGTTTCAAAATAGAAAACCTGGTTTCATTTCTTAGTCCTGGATTTTGTAGACGCTACGTCGCTACTTGATCAAAGCAATAACATCACTACAGGAAAGTTACTTGATAAATAAAGCAGCGACACTACGGTCAAGCTACTGGAACATGTAGTTAAACATGCTACATGTAAAGCTACATGTAGCGCCGTCACTGCCGTTCACACTGAGTCTAGTTCTGCTGGAGGTTTCTTTCTGTTAACAGGGAATTTTTCCTCTCCACTGTCGCTACAAGAATGCTTGATTAATGAGTTGATGCAAGCAACTGATTTGCTTTAGATAGAAAACTTGGAATCAATTTTACTGCATGATATGGTTAATTGACTTTGTAAAGTAATTTGTGTGTGCTGTGAATTGACACTATATAAATAAACTGAATTGAGTTGGACCTGAAACTTGGTTGTCAGTGAACATGTATCCCTTTTTGGCATGGAAACACTGAGGGGTATCCTATAATAAACTGGAGACTGACACTAAGGATATGCATGTCTGTGTTCTCCAGCTGGACAAGTAACTGCCGCCATATCCTTATACCACAACCCCACTTACTGATCTTGGATAAGCACAAGCTGGTTGATGGATGTATAGAGACAAGCAAGTTTATGTTTAGCAATTGATTGCGTTCAATATAGATTCATTGCTAGTAAATGGTGTTTAATTTGACAAAGGTCATTTGAATTTGCCCTCTCTGTCCACTGGAGGACATTCAGAGAAGGGCAGGCCAAAAGGAATTTGTTTTCTTTTTTTGCTGTTGTAAACTAATATAATTTTATATCAGGAAGATATCTCTTACTCTTGTACCTCCTAAAGGAATGGTTGTTTATAGTTTTATTTTGTTTTCTTTGGTCTACAGGCTGTTGCTTAAGCTATGTAGAGCTTGAAGAGCCCAGCTTATAGAAAGAGTCTGAGCTTGTGAACAAGAAGCCAATGGGTGGTTGATGCACAGGGTTGCTTCAGTTTAAACTTTTTTCATCTTTGGTTTAATCAAACCTATTCTGCAGGTAAGACAACTTTTTGATTCTTTTCGACTGGCAAGTCTATACTCATTCTGAACAACAAAGTTCTGACTATTGTGTAACTTTAAGAATTAAACAACTTTCATTTAATGTACAACTTTGTGTGATTTCATTTTATTTTTTTAATGTAATAGTCTGGGTAACAAGATTTTTTCAGAAGGACACAATATTCTGTATTCCATAAAGTAGGCTCTTGCTCTCAGTTTATTTTAGGTTTAGTTTTCCTGAAAAATGCCACACCCTGTTGCTCATTTTAATGCTGGAAACAAAGAGCGATAGAAAACAAGGAGTGACAACATAACTCTGCTGATCCTGAACACACTAAGGTAAGACTGTTTTGCTTAAGTTAAAACTTACCTAGCAAACATTTGACAAAAAAGCAATTTAAAGAGAATATTATAATTGGTTCTGGAATGTATTTGTCATATTTATTAGATGAGTGCGGTTTACAACCTGCTTGTAAAGCACCGACTGGAACCTTACTACTACAATTTTCTACAGCTGGGTGTGAACGATAGAGGACAGTAGAGGACTTAACTAATCTTGGTAAGAAATAATGTTATGCATTATTAGTTTTCCACTACTGTTTTGTTCTCAAAAAATTCTACTACAAAAATAAAAGCACCTCACATTCTATTAAGTTTGTTTAGAACTTAGTTATTTTTGTTCTTAACTTGTGCAAAAAATGTCTTAATAAAAAGCTCAAAAGGGTATTAATTTCTTTGTTACTCTTCATTTCTTTTTATTATAAAAACATCAACGTGCACATCAAGGGAAAGCACAAAGAAGCAGACTGGGGGTGGAGTTGCATACAATTTGTATGCCAGTGGAAAAAGGTTTGGGGACAACTGATGTGGAGAATAACTCTATACAGTGATTATAGATTTATTGCAAATCAGTATACGCTGTTTATGATGGATCCCCCTAAATAAGGGCTAATGTACAATGTGTACCAGCTGAATCCCATAGCACACACACAGTAGAGAACTAACTGGGACCTATTTTCAAAACTAGAATGTGTTTCAATTAGCTACTCTATCAACTCTTTTGAACACATTCATCTGCTTTTAAAACAGCTTGCTTGTTAATCCTAGACACAATATATAAATACCTGTTTGTACAACAATGACAAAGTAATATATATTGACAAGAAATCAATATTTTTTAATTTTCTACACAAATCATATCTCTTTTTAAACAGGACTAACACAGGTGGAAAAGAATCGTTTTGCTTCATTGAAGAGTGATGTCACCAGATTCAGAGGCCCACACCAATCTGTTCCATCAGTGCAAAAGTCATTAAAGTCATTCTTTCTAATGTATACATATCCCAAATGCCCTGAAATGAAAAGCATCACAGGTAAGAAATTTGCATTATTTTTGGCATTTGGTCAAAACTGTATAATTTAAGAATCACACAACTATTACATCTTGCAAAAATTGTATGAGCATAAAGTTGTTGTGAGAGTTTACCAGACTGTTATGAATATATTAAATAACTACAATTGGAAGTTATAGTTAATCATTCAAAGTCATTCAAATCAAGGGTAAAACTAATTAATTATTATCAGTCCAATGATTATAACTGTAATTTGCTTAATGACCAGGGCTTTTAGCCTCTTACTTAAAAGGTTGGACTATGGCTGTCAGCAAAGTTATTGATCACCAACCAAATGTGTCTCTGTTCATTCAATTTGATGTTACTATTTTAGTTCGGTGGAGTGTAGGCCTTTGGCTCGGTCCAGTTTTCTGCAGGCCCCGTCTTCTGTCCTGTCTTTTCCTTCCTACAGCAGCTCTCAAAGACAATTTGGATCAACTCGATGCAATAATAAGAGTTGACTTTGCAAGGGGGTTAATTTTATAACTCACTGTAGCACAAGACATCTCCCTTTTAGCTACTGTGCTTAGCTTGTAGCCACAGCCTTCAGCAGCTCCTGGGTGCTACTCTATCTCAGGCAGTGACGGTTCTGGCAGCTTCTAACTGCTCCTTCGGCGAACAGCGCCCGGCTTGCCATAGGTTTGCCTGCTGTGACTAAAAGTGGCCCACAGCAGTGACCCAAACTGACACAGCTCATTGGCCAATTTCTATCACGTATAGCCTTGTCCTGGCGCTCCAGACTGCTTTACCTTATTAACAGGAGAAGCGGCGCAAGTCGTCGGACAACATTTAGTAATTTATAAATGTCTTAAATCAGGTTGTCCCGGATTAGCCAGCTGGTGGGTCTGGATCCGGACTGCGGTCAGCGAATCCGTGACCTATGGTGTAAGGGGTCAAACAATTGTTTGGCAACTACTTTCTTAAAAATATTACATCAGAAAGGAGGATTGGATATAGGTCTATAAATGACTGAAAAGCCCTCAGAGTCCGAGCTAGAGCCAACTTGAATTATGCAATCAAAGCAGAAACACAAGCAGACGATCCAGGATCTCTTCCACAGTGTCAGCAACACCAGGAGGATGTGGCAAGACATACGGGCGATTAATAAACTGGATGAAGAGAGTCTAGCACACCTGGAGGAGAAGAACACCCACGTGCGGATGCTGTTCCTGCACTTCAGCTCAGCTTTTAACACTATCATCCCGAAACATATGATAGAAAAACTGAAACATCTGGGCTTCAGCACACCCTTTTGCAAATGGCTGCTAGACTTCCTCAGCAAAAGACCTCTGCTGTTTAATCTGATGACACACGACTGTGGCGACAATTACCAGGACTACAGAGAGGAATTGGGGCAGCTGGTGGGCTGGTGTAGGGACAACAGCCTGATCCTGAATGTAGAGAAGATGAAGGAGATCATCGTCAAGTTCAGGAAGAACTGGCCTAACCACGCTCCACTGCTCATCAACAGCCTCAGACTGGAAGAAGTGAGAATAGAGGTGAGGACAGCAGAGAGGATCATTGAGGCTCGTCTTCCCTCCATTAAAGATATTTCATCCCAGTGCTGCGTACTGAGCCCGTAACGTCATCAGTGACCCCTCACACCCCCACCATGGACTGTTCTGCCTACTGCCCTCTGCGAAGAGGCGTCGCAGCATTTGCTGCAGGATCAGCAGGTTCTGAAACAGCTTTTTCCCTGCTGCCATTTAACTAGTGAACTGTTGTGACTCTAATCAAGACTTATACATTTGCTCTACCAACTTTCCATATCAATGTCTTTTGCACCATGAGTTTAAACGGGTTTTCCTTTTCTCCTACACTGTTTACATTCTGATCACTGCTGTAAGCTGCTCATTCACTGTTGAAAAGCTGTATGCATCTCAATTTCGTTTTGTGACAATAAAGATGACAACAAAGTTGTCTAAGTCTAAGCTCCAATGAAAGCTGCTGCTATTGCCGTGCATGCTGGGATAGCTGTCAATTTAAAGAACGGACATTTCTGCACTGATGCATACTCGGTAAAGAGGGAGGGGCAAGAACAACATCTGGTGACTTTGTCCATTTTCGGCCTTGTGTTCCTGTGATTTGGAACAGTACTATAGCTGAAGCTGATGACGTTTCACAAGCAAATGAGAATGCACAAGTACACATATTCAGAAACAGCCAGAGAGTAGGGAGATGTTCTTCGTCTAAATTGAGAATAGCAACATTAGTAGCCATAATTTTTTTAAGAGGGAACTTCCCACATTATAAAAACCAGATTTGCGTTCAGATAATGCACTATTCCTGCTATCCCGCAGTGAATTTCAGGTCCTGTTTCTATTTTTTATTTTCTCTTTTTCAAAGGAGCTATATTGTCTGATGCACTATGCATAGAACAAGCAAACCCATCTATAAAATCATCAACCTGAGAAGGGGAATAAACTAAATATATGCCTTGCAGCACTGCTTAGAAACACAGAGGAGAAAGGGCAGCAAATTCTTAAAAAATTATTACTGCATTATTTGTTATAGAGCTGCTAAAGTGAGACTTTCTTTTGAGGGATTTATACGAGTCTTTTGGATATCCTTTTATACACAGTTTAGGGCTGAAACCACAATGATTCGATTGCAAAATTAAAATTCTAATATACTTCTGCGCCATCTGCATTGGGAGAGGAGGAGGAGAGAAAAGTTTAAGGTCTATAAATGTCTGGGAAAATATAGCTTGAAATTTCTCTGGATGCTCTCCTGGTACTGGAGGACAAAAGTAGCTTCACCACTGAAAGGCTATTTGATATAGAAAAAAGTGACTTTATGACCATGCTACTGAGAAATGTAGTTAAGCTAGTGACGGCTCTACTTGTAACACCTCTGCTGTTCAATACTGCCAGTCAATAAAGGCATTTAAAAAAAAACCTAAGATGATTACACAACATTTTTTAAAGTTGTTTTTATCTGTAGCTGCAGCTTAGTATTTAGTAAAAGTCTGTATCTATGGAAACCTGGAACCAAATGCCTGTAATACGTATGTATGTCCAAACAGTACATGTTTTTAATAGGTTAACAAGTATTTTTTATACAGGTAAAGAGAGGCAGAAGACATATTCATAGGCATCCAGTCACATTCACACAAACCCACCATTAGGTCCTCACAGACATATATAGGCACCTAATGAAATGGCACACAAGAGCTGACACTGAACATATTCTTACATTCCTTATACATATGGTACACTATCCTCCCAGGTCTAGGGACCAATGCCCCAGCCACCAGACCAAGAAGGAAACCTCCAGCCCCACTTCAGGGGCAGGTGCAGGCAACACAAGCTGTTAAAAAGAAGAAAAAAAACCCACCAAGGCCAAATACATGGTAGACTTAACCCAAGTGTGATACCCAGCAGCCAGACAGAGTCCACATATAAAGTGATAGAACGGCCCGCTGAGGACCAACCAGGGCGCCTGATTGGCCAACCCCCAAATCCAGGCACTGCTAGCTAGCTGCATACTCACACAGAGGGTAATCTAAAAGCATTCCTGTATTCAGCCAATTTCCAGGACAAGTAAGCATACACTACTGATTAAAATCTACCTCTTTACATAATGATGTACTTAATCACCAACCTTTAAATACATTTTTTTAAAGAATTAATTTAAAGACCCATGAGCATGATCACTGAAAGGGAGATTCTCAATGTGTGAGATGTTATTTAACCAAGAGCTGCGGATTAGAAAATAATTTAAACAATAGTTAGAATTATGTAAAAAAAAAAAAAAAGAATTAGGTACATGAGAAAAAAAGGATATTCCCTGCTTTTAGGGCGGAACGAGTGCCACCCATCAGATAGTTCGAAATCATTTATGCAACTTTAACTATATTTATTGACTGCCAACTGCAATGTGTTCCTGTAGTGTTTAACCTCTACTTCACTCAGGGGGAAACTGAAATTGCCCCCAATAATAAGTGAAGTATCCAAATGTACGAACAGAGCTGTGAAGAAAGTATGAAAGGATGAGGGGACATGAAAGTTTGGGGCATAAATTCTAACTATACAACGTCATGAAAAAATATCTTTATTATGGTAAATCTGCCCTCTGGTTTCTAATATTGTGAAACCTATGTGTGTGAATTAAAATGGCTAATCATCTTTTCTTAGAGTTATAGCAGGCAGATATATTGGTGAAGATTCTTGGTCATCCAGGTCATAGTCATTTCAAAAAAGTTAAAAAACAATCCACTGGACTTTGTTTTCCAGGTTTGAAGACATTTCCCTTCCCATCCAGTAAGTAGGCGGATAACACATAAGGTGTGTAATTCATAATTCAGATGATTTAAGATAAATGCAGTAGCAGCTTACTTATCAATCTCTTTTAAAAAGACAATGTCTGCTTTCTTCCCAGCTAGTTAAAAATGTCAATCTTTTTTACTGTTGTGGCAGCTCCATGCACATTCCATGTGATAAACCTTAGTTTACCTAGTGTAAAGCTTGATTCGATAATTTTAGGCAGTGTGTATCACCATACAAACGTATGTGTTTGTGTGCGGAAGTAGGAGGAGCAGGTGACAGAGAGAGGAGAGAATGTTTGGGAGAGAGAAATTATCCAGATACAAAAAAAAAAAAAAAAAAAAAAAATCCAAACAATCCACATTCACAAGTGCAACATGATCTTATAACCCTCCAAGAAGTCAGTAACTCATTTAAATGACTGATAGACATTATGTTTCCTAGATAAATATTAGAAATGGGTTTAAATAAAGTTTTAAGGCAAACAATTCTTTGGCTTTCTTGTGCCAAAAGCACTTGCTTAATAATAAATGCAGAACCCCCGAGTGTAATAACTTTTTGTTTCTTCCTCTAAATGTTTGGTAATACAAATGTTGGCTTAAACACAACTGCTTTTAGTATGTTAAATTTTAAAACAGTTCTGCATTATTTGTTTACCAAATGTTCAAAATCAAAAGTATTCCTTTTGTCATTGTTGGATGAGATTTTTGAGAACAC